TGAGTCATAACAGCTTCCCTCAAGATGGAAGGTTTTAACGTCAGAGGAGACCGCCACACAACAGAAGGAAAGGAGGTGGGAGGGGGCATGAGATGAAGCTGGCCACATTATCAAGGTACATGACAAAGTTCCGAGGGTTCTAAAAACGTACCTTGCCTGTGGTGGCATCCTCTTAGATTTGGATCTGCGTATGAGCTGACCACATCTACTCTCTGAACAAACCTAATTTGATGCACTTGAGTTAGAGCGAGTCATTGGGGATAAACAAATGATCCGAAGGCTCAACAAAGGAAAATATATATAAAGTGACATTATACACATGGGAAATTTCTCAGCTTCTCCAGTCACCCACGCATCAGTCACTTTTCTGCCACTGCACTGCAACACTGCGGCCAGAAGCAACGGACAGAGGGAAGGGTCTATTGTGGTCCCAGGGCGAGTAGAGTCCCTCGTGGTGGGCAAGTACTACAGCAAGCAGCAGGCCTGGCAGCAAGAGCAGGAAGCTAGGAGTCCCCATCCTGAATGGCAAGCATGAAGTGGAGAGAGGGAACTGGAAACAGGACATGCTTCCTCCTGCAGAGCCCACGGGGACACACTTCAGAGCCCACGGGGACACACTTCCTCCTGCAGAGCCCACGGGGACACACTTCAGAGCCCACAGGGACACACTTCCTCCTGCAGAGCCCACGGGGACACACTTCAGAGCCCACGGGGACACACTTCCTCCTGCAGAGCTCACGGGGACACGCTTCCTCCTGCAGAGCCCACGGGGACACACTTCCTCCTGCAGAGCCCACGGGGACACGCTTCCTCCTGCAGAGCCCGAAGAACAGCACCATCGACTGGTGACCACGTGTTTAAACGCTGCAGACTACGGGAGGAAAGAGGGTACAGTTCTAACCCTGCAATGGGACAGGTGCTACCAGGCCACATGGATGACAAAACTTTTCAAGTGCCAGCAAGAATTTGATGAAAACAGAATTTTCTGAGGGGAGCACAAAGATAGTGTGCCCACTTTGGAAACAATGAAGCCGTGTCCTAGTTAAACATAAATTAACTATGATCTAGTTAGACAAGTCCTAGCTAGAGAAATGCGAACTTACTGACACAATGTCTCATATAAGCTATTTGTTGCGATGTGGATTGTGGCGGTGTCTGTGCTCAGGTATATGGGCAGAGAAACTGGTTTAGCATAGGGATGTACTACTGCTCATCAGCAAAGGAGAGTACAATGGCATAGTGCCAACAAACGATAACACTGCACACAAAGTCCATACTTTGTGACTCCACTCCTTCTAGAAGAAGAAGTAGGGGTCTTATAGCAGTAAGTGAGGAGCGAATCTGGGCGTGGTGGTGCACGTCTTTATACCAAGTGTGGGATGTGGAGGTAGGAAGATCAGAAGTTCAAGGTCATCTTTGACTGCATTGCAAATTCTAGGACAGCCTGAGCTACACGAGACCCTGATTTAAAAGGGATGGCGGTGGTGGATGGAGAAATGGCTCAGTGGCTGAGAGTACTGGCTGCTCTTGCAGAAGATCCGGGTTCGGTTCTCAGCTCCCACATCAGGTGGCTCATAATTCTAACTTCAGTTCCAGGGGATCAGATGCCCCCTTCTGGCCTCCCAGGGCACTGCATACACGTGGTATAGATACATGAAAATAATTTTAGTTAAAAAGCAAAATCAGTAGTGATTTGGGTCTGGGAATCGGTGGGGGCATTATTTGGGAGTGTTCCATGGACATACTGATTTGTCAACAATATTAACTAACATTAACTAACGTTGATTTCTTTTAAAAGTTGACTATTCACCATGAACTAAAAATAAATAAAGCTGAAGAAAATCCAAACAATGATATTTGTACCAAGAGTCAAGGAGATGGATATTAAAAAACAATCTAGAAACTAATCTGATCTTTAAAAGTTAAAGTTGGGTGATTTTGGTATTTCAAATCAATTTGGGGGAGAAGTATTTACAAATGATATTGAGTCATTTTGGCCATTCTGGTAATAAAATAAAGTCCTGAGTCTACTTATGAAAAAAAAAATAAGAGAATTCCACCTAGATTAAAGAGTCTATTTAAAAAATCATCTTAAATAAACCAATAGTAGAGGTCCTCAGAGTGAGTACATGGTGCGGCCTGGGGGCGCTGTGTGTGTGTGTGTGTGTGTGTGTGTGTGTGTGTGTGTGTTTGTCCTCAGAGTGAGTACATGGTGCGGCCTGGGGGCGCCGTGCCTGTGCCCAGATTTCCCCCACTGTTCCCACACTGCTTGGCATCTAGTCCTGGGGAAGCTCAGGGTCCCGCAGTCAGGACAGGACAGGACAGGAGTTCCCAGGCTCCTGTTCATGCCCCAAGGCCAGAGAGAACTTTAGAACCTTCTTCCCCTTCTCTAGGCTCAGCACCCAGCATGAAATGACACAACCATGGTGCCCTTCCCACTGGAAAACTCCCAGAAGGGACATTACAGTGGCCCACAGTGGCTGCAGACTCTTGGGAAGGGGTCAACAATGCTGGTCCCTTCCCTGTGAGTAGGAGCACTGGGTATGCTACAGGGACCAGGATGGTGGCTCAGTGACAGGAAACAACACTATGTAGTGACTCAGGGACCTTTACAGGTGACTCAGGAAGAGCCATGGTGGGTGCTCAGCAAGGTCCAAGGGGACTGAGAGGTTGGAGCATCGGGTGAGTAGAAATTCACACTGGCCAGCTCACCCAGTGTCCTGCAGTCAGTGGACTGGACCGTGGAAGCTTTTCTCATCTCCCACCCCTGTGGTCTGTGGCCCAGGTCTCTGGGGAATCACTGGCCCCAGAGGGAAGGGCTGGTCTGACTGCAGATGTTTTCTGTCCTTTTGTTCTCCCTGGTCTCTTGGGGCCATCTGAACTCAGCTGAATGCCGAGGTGGGTGAGGAGCACAGGTGTGGGGCACGAGTCTCCATGGCAACAGAGCCATCTGGCTTTCTTGCCTGGCACTGGGCCTTGTGACTTCCCGGTGGAATCTTCACCAGGGTTGCCTAGTGAAGAGGATGGATGGGGGAGGGGGCTTTGCCCTCCCAGCTCTGGTCTGGGTTAGGCTGCTTAGTGTCAGCACTCGGGGCTCCGGTAGACTGTAGTGGCAAGTACTGGTGAATGTGATCAGCACACCCGGCCTCCTTCAATCCTGGCCTAGCAGGTGAAGAGGAACCTGGGGGGGGGGGGTGGGACAGAAGCGTGGGTCTTTGCCACCCAGAGAGTCCGCCCTGGCAGCGCCCTCCCAATGGCAGGAAGGGTAAGTAAGACACAGTCAGTCTCCACAGGGGCTCCATGTAAGACACAGCCAGTCTCCACAGGGGGCTCCATGTAAGACACAGCCAGTCTCCACAGGGGGCTCCATGTAAGACACAGCCAGTCTCCACAGGGGCTCCATGGGAAGTCAGTGGCCCTCCAGCCCAGTGAGAGCCATCTAGCTCACTGACATGCTGGGTTCCCAGGGTTGCTACAACAAACTTACGAACCCGGTAAAATGATGGCAGTCCATCCCCACCCAGTGCTGGCAGCCTGGAACCTGATGTCAGGGTATCAACAGAGTTTGCTCCATCTTGGGGCTCCAAGGGAGAAGCTGTGCCCCCTCTCCTGGCTCCTGGTGATGGCTGGTGACCTTTCTTGGCTGTGGTACCATCACTCCAGTTTCTGCTACAGGAGATCATCATATGACATGGCCCCTGAGTATCTGTGCCTAAGTTTCCCAGTCATAGATTCCGGGCATGCCCTAACTCAGTACAACTCGCCTTGACTTGATGGCATCTGCCAAAATCGTACAGAGAAGGGAGCCAGGGCCTAGGACTGGGATGTACCTTAAAGGGACCATGCACAGCACACATGCGCAATGAAGAAGGGATGAGGCTCAGCCTCGGGTACAGCGGCTCGGCCTATTCCCCCAGCACAGAGCAAGGGGAGGCAAGTCTGGATTAGGGGTGATCAGGAGTGTCAAGTGTGTGCGCCAGCCCCTCCAGGAGCTATCGGTCCATGGCTAGCACTTCCCCAGGAGTTAGGGACCTGTGCTGAAGAAAGGAGATAAGAGGTGTGACCCCAGAGGAGCCAGGCAAGCCAGGGCCCAGACCACAGTGGCCCCCATGGAGCCTGGAGTCTATGAATTGGAGCAGCTCCAGGCCTATGCAGATGGTCTCAATGGGCAATGGCGGGAATGGGAGGTTCCAGGTCTGTCTCCCCCGGCCAGGAAGGGAGCCCACATTTCCTTCCTCTGCCTCCCCAAAGACATGACCCCTCCCCTACCAACCCCAGTCAGCAAGGACTCAGTTCCCAGCCAAGCCCTGCTTGACATTCTCTTACTCTCCCATTCTCTCTCCTCCTCCCCCATCATGTGAACAGGTGTTACCCCGTGTGTGTGTGTGTGTGTGTGTGTGTGTGTGTGAGTGTGTGTGTGTCCCTCATCGTGTGAATGGGTGTGTTACCCCGTGTGTCTGTGCTCCACTTGCACGCCTGACTGGTGCTGTAGAGCCCAGAAGAGGGCATTGGTCCTGTCAGAAATGGAGGTACAAATGGTTGTGAGCCACTGCCTATGCTAGGATTTGAACCTAGATCTCTGGAAGAACAGCTGTGTTCTTAGCCTCTGAGTCATCTCTCCAGCCTCCTTCCTCTTCCTTCCATACTGCCGTCCCTCCCCCTCCCTCCCTCCCTTCCTCCCCTCTCTCTCCCTCCCTCCCCTTCCTCCCTGCCCCTCCCCCTCCCTCCCTGCCCCCTCCCTCCATCATTGTTGCCACGTACCAGGGCTTTCCTGGGTCCCATGGAGACAGATGTCACCTAGGCAGATGGCCTCGCCCTGATGAGATGTACAAATATCGGGATTGAAGCTAGCAAACAAAGCAGTGCAATGCAGGGCTTTGCGTGCATTGAAGGAGAAGTGTGCCAGTCAACAGGGTGATCTTCGGGATGGGTAACAGTCACTGCGGGGAGGCTGGGAGCCAGGAAGACTCCCCTGAAGTGAGGGTCCCAGACGCTCAGGCATGGTCAAGTGTGGTGTGACTGAGGGCCTGGGGGGCCAGGGGATAGTAAGCAGAGCCAGTAGGGTGAGAGGTGAGGTAAGGTTGCAGGGCTGATGGCGTGGTTAGGAGCGGGGACTTGCCCGGGGCGGGGTGGGGGTGGGGGGGAGGCTGGTCAGCTGTGGGTCCTATAACCTCCCGAATGAAGACAGGACCAGCGAGGAAGCAGGCAACAGTGACGAACAGACACCCTCTCTTCTCAGACAACTCAGAAAAGCCAGGAGGCCGAGCCCTTGATCTCTCTGAGCCTCCTGTTGTGGGAAGACTCAGAACACCTGTCCCAGCAACTGCAGACCATCAGTTCACAGGATCAGGAGCCACCTGGCTCTCCCAGCCTCTCTGACGTGGGCTCAGAGTACCTGCCTTTCTCCCATGCTCATGAGCAGGCCCTGGCTACAGAGGAGCTGCCCCAGCAGGGTGAAGTCTGCCCAGGACACAAACCTGGCTGGAGCCCCAGAGAGGGGCTGATCCTCGGGGAGCTGGCGCCACCTAGTGGCTTCTTCCCATACTACCGCTCTCAGGAAGTGCATCTCTCCAGCAACACCCATCAAGACCGCTGGTGTCTGGGCACCAGGGAAGGCTTTCCCGCAAGTGGGGCACAGGATGGCTGCTGCAAGGTGACAGCCAGGGGTGGGTTGCCCTGAGTGTCTGAAGAGACCACAGGAGGGCAGGCAGCACCAAACTTCTGGAATGTTCCAGATACCTATCCCCAGGGAGCCTTTGGCACACTGGCTATGGGCACAGAGGCTAGGAGGGACTGTCCAAATATACGCCAGCTCCTCACTTGCATGGAAGTGGCTGTGGAGATATGGAATTACATACAGTAATTCAAAGAAAGGCCTGAAACCAGAGCCAAGCCCATAGAAACACGTAGTTACTTCTTGGAATTAGTTAGACACCCAGATACTGGATGTGTGCTATCTCACTTAATACTAATGGCTGTTCATGAGTGAGACAACATCTCTTCGAAAACCAAAGGAACACGGCCTCGGTCACCCGGGGAGCAGGTGCCAAGCCTGGGTTCTGGTCTGGACCTGCACCCTCTAATCTCACGAGCAAACCCTCGGCTGCTACACTGGGTGTAAGGTCTCGGGACTGCAGAGGAAGCTGGGTAGATGTTGAGTTCAAAGGCCAGGCTGGAACTTTCCCATGGGGCGCCCTGGATGTGTAAGCAGCATGAGGAACTGGCCTGGTTCCTGGCGCCCTCCCTGATTGCCCCTACAGAGTTACAAGCCAGGGTCCATCTTGGCATCTGAGCCGGAACCTGACTGACGCCTGCTCTTCCTCCTCCAGTCTGCCTTGGCGGGGCCAGACCCCCTGTCTGGGTTCTCGCCCTCCCCAGCCTGCTGCCTCTTCTGGGGAGGCTTCGTGTGTGATGGCCAGCAGAATCTTCATCTCTCCAGGGACCATGCTCTCGGTGTATCAGGGTTTGTACCGTACTACAGGAGCCCTGAAGAGAGGTTTCACCCCAGCCCGGTGCCTTCCTCCTCCGTGCTGGGGAGCTCGAGGGACTGACCCCAGCCCGGTGCCTTCCTCCTCCGTGCTGGGGAGCTCGAGGGACTGACCCCAGCCCGATGCCTTCCTCCTCCGTGCTGGGGAGCTCGAGGGACTGACCCCAGCCCGGTGCCTTGCCAGCCTGTGAAGATCCAGTGGTGACAACAGCAGGGACTTCTAGAAATGAACCACCGCGCCCCCCATTGGGACCTCATTGCTCCTTCTGTAGCTTGTCACAAGCCTGGATACGGGGAGCAGGGGTCTCCTGGACAACTCGCAGGTACACATTCCCGAAGCTGGTTTTGTAAATAAATCCTGTGCAGCGTGGATGCCTGACTGTCAAGTGTGATGCTTCAGGACCAGGCCCCCAACTTCCTCCCGCTGAGCCCCGAGGAGCTGCACAGTACCTTGCCAGATCCTCAGAGGAAATCTCATCCTACAGGCACAGAAACCGGCCCAGTGGGCATGCAGACAGGCTCCCGATTCCAAGTGCAGAGTCCCATGGCTGGGGCTGCAGGGCTGCAGGGATTGACCCGCCCAGAGAAGCAGAGCTGGAGCCTGACTGCACAGCCAGGAGACCCAGCAAGGCTCTCCCACAAACCACTCACTCTCTGTGCTGTCTCACCCCGTGCGCACCCACGCCTCATCCCAGTCCGGTTTTCCTGAATCTTCTCACCGGGCCCATTCTTAGGAAAACCTTGGTGTATTTTGTTGGAAAAGATCCATGTTGCTTTGGGGTTTTATTCTTTAACCGCCCCCACTCCCACCCCCAACACACACACACACACACACACACACACACACACACACACACACACTTTGTTACTGGGTCTGGAGTCCTTTGAAATTGCCCCTCCTCACCATGGGAGCTTTGCCTGTGCCCACAGAGGGCAGCCATGTGACCTAGCTGCCTCCTATTTACGGCACCACATAGGTCACTTGGTTCCCCCGTGAGCTTCCAATCGCAGCGGTCACCCTCTTGTACCCTCTTCCACGGGTTTCCCCTCACTTTCAGACCTATCCTGTACTACACCGGTGGCCCTGGCCATCATGGAACCTCTGTGTGGTCGGATTTTCCTTTGGGCCACCAGCTCACAAATCATGACACGGAGACGAATTATTATAAAAGCTTGGCCTTAGCTTAGTTAGGCTTGTTTTTAACAACTTAAATGAACCCATTTCTATTAAACCACGCTGCCCTGTGCCGTGCGCCCTGCTTCCTCTGTACCTCCTTGTGTCTCTTCTGCCCCTCAGTTATGGCTTCTTACTGCCTACCTCTGCCTACCACCACCCACCTCCGCCTACCTCCGCCTATCTCCACCTATCACCGCCTACCTCTGCCTACCACCGCCTACCTCCACCTACCTCCGCCTACCTCCGCCTATCTCCGCCTATCTCCGCCTACCTCCGCCTATCTCCACCTATCACCGCCTACCTCCACCTACCACCGCCTACCTCCGCCTACCTCTGCCTATCTCTGCTCAGAAGCCAGAAGTCCCACCAATACCTCCTGCCTAACTCTTGGCCGTTCAGCTCTTTATTAAATCAGTCACAGCAATATATCTTCACACAGTGTACAAATATCCCACAACGCCTCTGCTCGTCATTAGTAGGAGCCCACTTGTGCCCGTTAGCTGAGGGAACAATTGGAGGGGATTCTGACCATCCTCAGCCCTCAGGACCCGGAATGGAAGAAAGTACAGGAGCTCCAGGGTCCTGCACTGGTGTTTTGGGAGAGTTTCCCCCTTCTGATATCTAGGAGTCATTGGGAGGTGATGCAGTTGGCATGTTAATCACGTGATTATCATGCCATGTTAATCACCGATGATTTAGAAGCTGAGGCAGTGGTGTTAGGACATTTATGCTGAAGGGTGGGACTATGAACCTTTAGGAAAGTCAGTTCCCTTAATGAGTCCTGGCCAAAAGGAGCTTTTGGGGCCTGGAATGAGACATCCGGGACTCAGCAATCAGCACCGCTGTTGAGTGGCTTTAGCGAATTTGTTTGACCACTTCACTGAAAGCCAGGAGCTGCCTGGCAGAGCCAGGCTACAAGCTGCAAGCGATGCTGAAGCACCGCTTCATCCGAGTCCGAGTTCCTTGCAGCCCACAGCTCTCAAGATGTCTGGGAGTGCCAGAGCAGCTCCCTGGCTCCCTCTGAAGTCTCTCTCAGCAGCCTCCCTGGCTCCCTGGGATGCCGCTCTAGACCTTGTTTGCAGAGTCTGGCTCTGCTGGGCAATTGCTGGCCTGGAAGCTCCAAGTGCTGGGCAGCAGCGCCCTCTCCTGACCCATCCTGTCAAGGCACAGTCAGTGTCTCTGTCATCTAGACAATATAATTCTTTGGACAGCACCTAATAGGGCACCACCCCTACCTTGTAAAGACTGAGCCAGCTTGTCAACTCTGCGATGGGCTGAGCATTCTCTGGACAGACCCCAGAGGACCGCCGATGAGGAAGGAGCCCTGTTCACAATGACAGGCTCACATAGCACCCCCAAAACCAGTGTGGCCCTTTGTTCCTCCAGGGACCTCCTGCAGCCAGCACAGGAACAATTCAGGCCCAAAGAAGGCTTGTGTGTGGAGCCCTGTCAGCCCTCCATCGTTACCTCTCCGTTTTTGGTGGGGGGTGGGGTCCTATGGTCAGAACAGAGGCCTGAGGGCAGAAAAGCAGCCAATGCTTTGGAGGTCCCGAAAGAAGCTGGGATTCTGCGGGTCTCTGAGAAGGCCCGTGAGGAGTGTCACTACTGCCACCGCGAGTGAGGTGGCTGCCTCCCCAGCTCTGTCATGACCCAGGCGCCCTCTTCTCCTGACATCAGGTGGTCAGCCTTTGTCATTACCTCATGGCCTCTGAGTGCCTTCAGGACTTCAGGCCTACCCGGGCCCAGGGAACAAGGTAGTGCCTGTTCTCAGAAGTGTCCCATCTGATGGACAGATAGACTGTAGGCCAGAGTGGACAGGCAGACAGTGGATATGTCCAGCACAGACAGTCCAGGTGGAGTGCGGTGGTGTGCACTTCAGTCAGGGAGAGAGGCAGAGGAGAGGGGAGGGGAGGCTGGAAGAGGGGAGGGGAGGCTGGGAGAGGGGAGGGGAGGCTGGGAGAGGGGAGGGAGAGAGGAGGGAGAGGGGAGGGAGAGGGGAGGCAGGGAGAGGGGAGGGGAGGCTGGGAGAGGGGCAGCCAGCCGAGCAGAATCACAAAGGAGTAGGGCGCTGGGCTCAGCCAGAGGGCAGGGGGGGGCACCCACACAGGGGACAGGGGGAGGGGGAGGGCACCCGCACAGGGGACAGAGGGAGGGGGAGGGCACCCGCACAGGGGACAGAGGGAGGGGGAGGGCACCCGCACAGGGGACAGAGGGCAGGGGGGCACCCACACAGGGGACAGGGGGGAGGGGGAGGGCACCCGCACAGGGGACCAGCATGTACAGCCCCACAAGGGGAAGGAATGTGGGTGTGTGAGGTGTGAAGGCCACACTGCCTGGCTGGACTCACAGTCCTGCACACACCTAAATGGGCAACTAGAACTTGCAGGCAAGGCCACAGAGTGTCAAGGAGGCCCCGCAGAGAGGTGGCCAGAGCAGAGGCAGGCTTCAGGAGCCTGGCGAGGTAACAGTTGGAGAGGGAGCCCAGGACCAGGTCAGAGGGAACAAAGGCCCATGTCCACCATGAGGAGGCAGTGAGGGCACAGGCAGGGGCTGCGGGGGGGGGGGGGGAGGGCAGCAGGAGTTCCTGGCTGCAGGGGTGAGGCCTGGGAGGCTCATAGCCAGGTGTGTGTGGCAGCCCAGTGGAGGTGCAGTTTCCTAAGTGGTGGGGTCCCGGAGGAGCACTGGGGGTTCCTGCTCTCATGGACATGCTGAATTGAGGTGTGACTCCCAGGCAGAGGTGTTAAATAGAGCAGAGTTCAAAAGTGAAGCCTGGGGTCAAGGGAAGTGGGAATTGGAAGTGCGGAGAGAGATGATGGTGTGAATGGAGAAAGGTCCCTGGAGATCTCCAAGGAACTTGGTATCTAGATACAGACGAGGAGATAAAGGAGAGAGGAGAAAGGCTTCGAGAGGAAACCACACACCTGTCATCAGAGCGGACCAGCAGCTGGCTCAGGTGTAGGGGTGGGCACAGGTGTAGTTGGTGTGCACAGGTGTAGGTGGTGGGCTCAGGTGTAGGGGTGTGCACAGGTGTAGGGGTGTGCACAGGTGTAGGTGGTGGGCTCAGGTGTAGGGGTGTGCACAGGTGTAGATGGTGGGCTCAGGTGTAGTTGGTGTGCACAGGTGTAGGTGGTGGGCTGGGGTGTAGGGGTGGGCTCAGGTGTAGGTGGTGGGCTGGGGTGTAGGTGGTGGGCTGGGGTGTAGGTGGTGTGCACAGGTGTAGATGGTGTGCACAGGTGTAGATGGTGTGCACAGGTGTAGATGGTGTGCTCAGGTGTAGGGGTGTGCACAGGTGTAGGGGTGGGCTCAGGTGTAGTTGGTGTGCACAGGTGTAGGTGGTGGGCTCAGGTGTAGGTGGTGAGCTCAGGTGTAGGGGTGTGCACAGGTGTAGATGGTGGGCTGGGGTGTAGGTGCTGGGCTCAGGTGTAGGTGGTGGGCTCAGGTGTAGGGGTGTGCACAGGTGTAGATGGTGGGCTGGGGTGTAGGTGGTGAGCTCAGGTGTAGGTGGTGAGCTCAGGTGTAGGGGTGGGCTCAGGTGTAGGGGTGGGCTCAGGTGTAGATGGTGGGCTCAGGTGTAGGTGGTGAGCTCAGGTGTAGGTGGTGAGCTCAGGTGTAGGGGGTGGGCTCAGGTGTAGGGGTGGGCTCATGTGTAGGGGTGGGCACAGGTAGGAACTGAGTCCTTGGCTGGGAAGAGAGTTGGAGAGCTGGGGAGCTGGGGCCATGGCTGAGTAGAGTCAAGGTCCCTTCAGAGAACTCCAGGCTATGGAGCCTTCTCTGACTTGTGGAAACACAGCTCTCCCCGTGGCATCCCAGGCAAACGGGACAAGCACTGTAGCCTCGAGGCCCAGTGGATCACCACACACATTGCATGAAGTGAGCTCAGACTGTGA